GGGGTATTTAAGGGGAAGCTTGATGTCTACCTGGCTGGGGTCATTTAAGCCCTGTTTCTCTCTCCTGCCCAGGGCAGGGGGTCAGACCTGATGATCTACAAGGTCCCTTCCAACCCTACTTCTATGGATCAATGAATGCCTAGTGTGAATCAAAAAGTGCTTTTACTTCTTCTAAGTTTTGGGAAGTACTATATTTTCTTGCATACCACATGCCCTCAAATAAGACATGCATCTTGTTTTTGGAAGACAGAATGTACGAAGAAAGATTGTTCCAAAGTCATGGCCAACTGTGACAAAGGAAGTCCTCTTGGAGGACGCAGGTGCGTCAACATAAGATGCTTAACGCGCACTGGACTAACTCTGCTGCGCATTAGTGCAGCTGCCATAAACCGTGGTAATGTGCTAATGTGCGGTAGACAGTCTGATGCACGTTAAATGTTACACAGAAAGCATTCACTGGCACCGATTAGAGCGCATTAAGTTTAGTACATGTAATAATAGATGTATTCATTAATGCAGAATTCCAGCGCATCAATGAACGTGGACACACCCAGAATGTTCAACAAAGCGGCATCCGAGAATACAGCCTGGATGAGGCAGCACGAACTTCCTGGAGCACCAATCATCTTCCACAAAGTTATATAGCATGGAGAAACTTCTGGAAACTGTCTCCTGGGAAGCTACACTTCCTGAAAACATTATTTTCCCAGGAGTTCTTACTCCATATCACACAGGTTAGGCCCCATGCCATGCCCTTGCAGGGGAATAGAAAGACTGCTAGTTCTTAACTGTAAATAGTTTATATAAGTTCCTATAAATGAAGTGTCATCAAGCCTCATGAAGATCCTATCAGCAGCTCACTTGCTGCTTCAGGCACAAGCTATAGTGCTCAGCTGTGAGAGTTAACACAGGACTGTGCCCTTTCTGTCTGCAAGCCAAACACAAACAGCAGCCATCTTAGTAGCTGCATGGCTTGCTTCTTTTCCAGTGCAGAAAAAGCAGCTTTCCTGCTTAAGCTGAACACCCCAGTATGGGAGGCTGATTCTGAGGGAAAGGCGTGAATAAAGAAGAATACAATGAGCCCAGAAGAATACAGTGTAGACCAATGAAGGTGTGAAAACGATGACCTCTTCTAGAAGTACATGAAATAGTGATCCAAAGATGAACCATTCCCATTAGAGAATTTGTATAGTCCCACTGAGTTGATCTGTGCCTTTACATTCAAACCTTGGCCAATATAATTTTAACTAATAACCTAAGTTGAACTGAAGATCCTTCTTGCAGTTTAAAGGAAAGATCTAACAGTCAAAGCGTAGAATAAATTTTCAACAGAAATCTATTCTATGCAGAAGCATCACAAGGTTTTTCTGCAGGTCGGGGAAGCAGAGGAAGGAATTATACTGACCACTGGAGAGAGGGAGACTTGTTACCTGCTTGGACTCTTCTCTTTGTGTGGGCACTGCTACTGCTGCTGCTTAACAGCCTGGGCTGTACTGCTGCCACTGAGGGACAGGCCATGAAAAGCCTCTTGGTAGGAGGGGGCCATGCCGGTACCCTCTCTGAGTCAGCACCCAGGGCTAGTCCCCTGCTCACCCCACCCTAGTTATGCTACTGATCCTATTCTATATCTTTGGACACAATGGAGCATCAGCAGTCCCAATTAAATGAAGAATACTGTATAGCATTTAAAGCACATAATAGCTTATGCAAATCGCCCAAATGATCCTCAGAGCTGAACTCTGATTATATTATAGCTAAAGCTTTTTATCACATCCTCTCTCAGGACTGCATTAGGGTATTTAAACTAGAGAAATCTCCCTTTGATTCCTTGATGAGCTCTAGAGGTCAAATCCCTGTTGAGATCAGAATGGAGGTTTTCTTTCCTTTATGGTTGTGAGGGGTTTTCAGCATTTCCCTGTAAATTGCTATTTATCAAAATTAGCTTTTTCAGGATACGATACAGTCCGTCCTAACACATTTTAGATGACATCTCCCTTACAGGCAGATCTGTCTTTAGAGAACAGCAGCCTCCTGTTGTCATGCCCTGAGAATCAAAGGAAGCATGCCATAGCAACTGAGCGCGGAGTGGAATTTGATTCCCTTCCATTCACACACTCTACCACCCACGTTCAACAGCACCATCACAGTGTTCAGGAAGGAACAGCTCACCCATGTAGAACCTCACCTGCTTGTTACCGTCTATGCGAGTTAGCCTCCTTTTAACAGAGATTTCTACGACAGTGGTAGATATCAGTTCTCAAAACACAGTCTGAATCCAAGCTTAACATATGCTCATATTATTTAACAGATATGAAGTCTCACTCATGCCTGATATAAAAAATGACCAACCAACTGCTATGTTAGTAGTAGATTTCCAGAACAGATTAGTGACTTTGGATGCTTAACTTAAGATAACTCTAAGGAAGCCTTATTTTCAGGTAGTGCTGAACCCACAAAAAGGATGACATTGAGATATTGAGAAAAAAAAATCATTGCTTCTATAAAGGGGTATCTTCTGGTTGGCAAAAAATACTAGAGAGAGAAGGATTGATATAATTAAAGAGGTATACTCCTCACTCCTTGAAGTCCTGGCCTCTTAATTTAGTTCTACTTATGTTACATTATTATTTGAAAATTCAGAATGATAACAAGAGGAGACTTACTATGCTAGATTTTAAATTACTGAAGTGTCACATAATAAAAAAAACTGTATTTAAAGAAACAATGAAATTTGGGGGGAGGGGGTCAGTATGGGTGGGTGAGGAAGGGTG